TTTTTGCTCAGAATGCTCTCAATTTTTTTTGGGGGGGTCCCCTGGCAGTGCGCAGACCCCCCCCGCTTTTTTCTTTTCTTTTCTGGGGGGGGGGGCGAAAAGGCCGTTGTCCGGAATCCTGGACAACTCCCCCCCGACCGTCTCCTGGAGACGTCCTGGGGAGACGTCTCCCCATCGGACAGTCGGTAATGTAGCTTCGTTCGAAATTTCTTTTTGCAATTGAGATTTAGATTAGGAATTTAGGCGCATCTCAATGTTTGTTGCACGACGCTTCTTGCTTGCGCACACTTTGCCGCGTCAGGATCTGTGTTCTGACTTTTCCGCACCTCAATCCTTGCCTGTAACTGTAACTTTTGTTTTGGCGGGCATAATTGCAACTGCAATCCTCTCGTTCTTTATATCTTTAGTGGCGTCCCTGTGCGCGTGTACTTCTTCCTCATTCCTGTTGGCTTGAACGCTTGCATGACCGGATCGATGTGTGGAGTGAGGCTACGTCCCCCACGCCGCGGCCCAACATGCAGACGTAGGCACTTCCTTCCTACTCCTTTTCCACTCAGGCACAACCCCGGTTATCTCACGCAAGCATGCATGCTATAAATTTCGCAGACGCGATTAACTCACTCTCTAAGAATTTTGGGAGGTAGCGTGGTCGAGAGGATCGGCTAAGGAGCAAGAGTTGAAAGGTGAGAAGAGAGTTGGGCGATCCGACGAGCTGGTGCTGGGCATGCGGCGTTGACGTGGGGCCTCGATGGACTGTGGCACACGGGCGAACATGGTTTGCATGCTCGGACTAAGCGGGGTGACGACTCTGTGTGGGTGCGCTGTGTGTCCGATGAACGGAGAACGAGAAAAATTGAACGGCATTATACCCGTTTAACAGGTCCGAGGACCCCCGTTGAATTGCATTTAACGCAAAAACGGGGAAGTCCCATTGATTTCTGAAAAACGGAACCAGTGCGTTGGGCCTCGGACACATGGCCCTACGTGCCCAAACACTAAAAACAAGAAAAGAAAAAAAAAAATTGACCCCTCTCAACAGGGTGGGGTGGCGAAAAATGCCCCTCCCTCCCGAAAATGAAACTGCAAGACGGAAAAAAGTACACCATACCCCAGCATTGTGAGCACATATGTGTGCATGTGAGTGCAAGTCCTT